AATTCCTAAAATATTCTCACTTGAATTTTCATGAATCTAAATGATCAATTTGAAACTTAAGAATTAAATTTGAGAATCAAAACCTTGTTTCTTCTGTATTTCATGAGTTCATAGGGGAAGCATAATCATAAAGAAGTAGACTTTGACTGCATCTGCACACTTCAGTGGATATCCATTTCCGAAGCTTGCCCTGTTTTCAGAGTTCTCTGGGGTACTCATTTCCCATGCAGATTTCTAGGCTTGAAGCAGAAAGTTCAGTTTGACCCGATCTGGGGAAGGCTGTCTAACACTGTTTACAAGGTCTTGGTTTCTAACCAGGGGTCATTGTGGCACCCACAAGAGACACTTGGACATGTCTGGTGACATTTTTGGCTGTCGCTATGGGAGAGGGGTGGTATGCCTTCCATCTAGTGGGTAGAGAATAATTATCCTGCTAAACATCCTACAATGCACTGGACAGCCCCTAATAATGGGGAATTGTTCATCCCCAAGTGTCATAGAGGCCAAAGTTGAGAAATCTGGGTTAACATATAGTAACCTGTCTCGCTCATACTGGATAAATCCCAAGCCCCTGTAATAGCCTGCACATCCCTCCATGATCTGCTTCTTTTCCTCACCCATTTGCAGCTACTCTGCCTCTCTGTCCCTCTGGTCCGGCCACACTGGACTGCTTATGACTCAGATGCTTGCCCATCCCGACAATGTGCAAAGCTCCCTTCCCCTTCCAACTTCATACTCACTTTTTTTCTCATATCCAGTCGCTATGCACTAAAGAGTAAATTCCACAGTGTCATAGTCTTTGAAGCTTAGGCTTTGGCTGCATCCTAGCGCCTCGAGCTGGTGAATGAATGTGTCAGTGTATGTCTCAGGGTTTTTTTTTTTTTTTCATTTGATTGGGCAAATATGGGCAATGCTGCCGTATAACAGGGACATTTCTTTGTGAAAAAAATAACAAAGTAGCAGTTAAGAACCCAGAATCTGGGGCCATGCCCAAGAGACATTCAATTTAACTCACTGGAGTATAGCTGAAATAGAAGGAATTCTTGTCAGCACAGTCAGTTGGGCGATGCAGCCAGGCTCTAGAAGGCAGGCGTAGGCTGACCTAGGGGTGTTTAGAACGAAGTAGGAGTTAAGCAGCATCCCATCTGTATGACTAGTTTTACCTGAGACACATGAAGAAAGAGAAAGAGAGTCATGAGGGGTTCAATACGACAAAAGGGAATGCTGTATAAAGAAGAAAGGAAGATATGCAAATTGGTATTTAGGGAAGTGCCCCGGAAATAGATTAACAGAAAATTGAGAACCCTCTATCAAATACTTACATTTCACTGTATCTTCTAAGGATGCCTCATGGGTCTGACTAAGGAAAGCATCACCATTTTCCCACTAAATATCATGTTGTTTGGAAATAGTTTGAGGTGGCAAACAGCCCAGCCAAAGCACAGATGAACATGAAATGTGAATATAAGAAGCCACATCATCACCTCATCTCGAATTTTCTTCCTAGAAAGCCTCACTCCTTGGAGCTTTCCTTCAGCCATGCTGGCCATTGAGATTCCCTCAAAGCCAACCATGTGGACAGAAAAAGAAACGTATACAAAAATCTGACCTATTCCATGAACTTCCTAGGTTTTTTTGAAACTTCTGGAAACTTAGAGTTATGCAAACAGATATGGACAGACTAGGTATGACATCCTACAAATGTCAGAGAGGGCAGCTTCCAGAAAGAAGGTCCCACTGTCTCTTGCCAGTGTTTACCTTTGGTTTCATGTTTGTGTGTTGGTGTTTTTCAGGTGGTTCAGTTGGTTCAGTTTGTTCTCTTTTTAATTTCAGAGTCTCCATTTGTTTTACTTAATGTTGGGCCCTCTGTTCCTGTGGTGATATTTTAGTCAGTCAGCTTTGAGACATAGTCCATTATCAAAACATTTCATGTCAATTAAATAGAAATTGCTTTTTTACACCCTCTTCTTGAGTTTTGACTTGTGCCATGTTTGAAGCCAAAGCCCATGTCAGCAACAGGGATTCACATACTGGCCCTTCTCAAGTTGGATGCACTCAGTGACAGAACAGGACGCAGTTCTCTGAAGAATGACTTGATTTGTCTTGTTCTCTTTCAGTAACATACTAGAAGATATCATAGAGTCCAATAAACCATCCACTTACTCAAGTATGCCTTATAAAGAAAGTGTGGGGGCTGGCCCAGTGGCACAGTGGTGAAGTTCACACATTCTGCTTCTCGGCGGCCCGGGGTTTGCTGGTTTGGATCCCGGGTGCGAGCGTGGCACCACTTGGCAAAAGCCATGCTGTGGTAGGCGTCCCACGTATAAAGTAGAGGAGGATGGGCATGGATGTTGGCTCAGGGCCAGTCTTCCTCAGCAAAAACAGAAGGATTGGCAGTGGTTAACTCAGGGCTAATCTTCCTCAAAAACAAGCAAACAAACAAACAAAAAAGAAAGTGTGTTCTGTAAGATTCCTACTATCCAGGGTTTGCCCAGTGTTCAGTGAATATTGATTTAGTGCATATGATGTGCCCACAACAGCCTAACCTCAAAATTCAGCTGGGAACAGACAGACTCAGTTCATGATCCAGTGAGGTTATCTTCCGGAGAAAGAAGACAGAATACAAACAGGCATCAAAATATAGTGATATTCACCCACCTGAAATTTATAAAATGTTATAAACCAATGTTGCTTCAATAAAAAAAATACACACAAGCTACCTGGTATTTTCCAAATATATCACCTGTTTCTAATTCTCGGATAAAACAAAAAAAAATGAACAATGTAAGAACGTGGAGTGTGCTGGCGTAGGAGGGGTCTCCTATTTCAGAAGTCGACACCATTTCCATAGGGAAGGGTTGTGAGATAAGCTCTGACGATTGTTGGAAGGGTAAGTTAAATATATATCTCCAGGAAGAACAAGGTAGGAAGTGAGAACAGAAAATACAAAGATATTTTGAGGGATCAGTTTTCTTCTACCTATCAAAATTCTAACCAAGCATTCACTTTCATAAGGCATTTCCATTTATAGAAATTTTAAAATAATAGATAAATATAAAAATCATTCACTGGTCTGTGTTTTATACTGTTAGAATATTTAAAAATAAATTTAACGGTCTGGTAGTTATGACACATTCAACATGGAAAATGTAAGAAAGTAAAATAAAAAATTAGATCTCCATGAATCAACATATGAATAATCGCTGAAATGATTACTATGTGAGAAAGACAGAGACATGGTTCTCTTTGTATTTTGTTTCTGATGTTATGTCTGTGTGAAACAAAAACTGCAGTCTGATATATTACTAGGTTTGTGTGTTAATGAAATTGCATGCATATGTATAGGTAGAATTTATATCAAGCTTTTGGGAGTACCTAATGCTGGTCAGAGGGAGAAAGGAGCAAGTTGGGATGGAAAGTACTTCCATATGAACTCATATGATCATATCTGTACAGACATCTGTGTCAGATGTGGGGATTTAGGCTATGCTGACCTCATAAAAGGGGTAGGACAGTCTTCCCTCATCTTGTCTTTCTGAAAACTTTGTCTAAGTTTCATGCTCTTTCTTTGCATGCTTGAAAAGATTTGCTAGTGAAATCTTCTGGACCTGCAACTTCTTTATGGAAAGTTCTATGATGGCAGATTCAATTGCTTTAATAATTACAGGACTATGGAAATGTTCTATTTCATCTTGTGTCAACTTTGGCGCCACATCTTTCAAGAAATGTGTCCATTTCATCCAGTGTCAAATTTGTTGGAATATCTTTGTCAACTATTCTCCTGATTTCAGTAGGATTTGTGGTGATAACCCCTTTTTTCTTACTTATATTACTCATGCATACACACACACACACACACACATATATAATATTTCACAATTTTTAAACTGTTTATGCCACGTGTTGCCTTTGAACATCCCTTCAGATATTCAGGTTAGATTTACCTCACTCACTTTCTATTTTATGGCCTAAGTGTATATCGAACCACCCAATTCAGCATTTCCAGACACACTCTGATGACCAGAGTTAGAACTCTGAATGCATACAATCTTTTATGCCAGAGGGGGAATTCAAACCCTGCCCTTGGCATCTCTAAAACTTCCACCTAAATCCATAATAATCTTCATTATGGATGCCATTGAGTTTTGCAAACTGTAGCCCATGTGGAGGCCATGTCTGTTTCAGTAACTAAAACATTATTTGTTCTGTTAAATATTGCTTAGCTCTACTTTTATCTTCCTAGTGTGTGGAGCATGTCTCTGAACTTTGGCCCACACTTTGGAATAAGTCCTGTATCCAGTGAGCTGGATGTCTTAGATGATAAACTCCTTGTGTGTCCTGGATAGTCGATCCATGTGCTCTGCCTGCTACAGTGAGAATGGCCATTCCTTGGAAATCCTCTGTCTTCTGCTTTGTGAAGCACAGTTAGGTGGCATACCTTCTTTAGATGTTGAGTAATGTGTTTTCAGCTGCAGCTCTCTAACTGAAGTCTCCGTGGTGTTGTTTCTCTAAGCCCTACACTGACCTTCCGACCCTATGAGTTGACCATGTCTCGGCTGCTGCCCCATCTTAGCTTACTACTGATACTATCATACAGAAATACCAGATTTTCCACTCAACTTCACAGGTGATGGTGGTGTGATACTGATTCCCCCTCAATTATGATACATGGCATTTTAGGCTATCTCTGTATAAATCTCAGTGCGGAGGACCCAGGTTCCTTCCCTGTTGTGAATAAGATGCTTCCTAGGGACTTGTTTCTTGACCAGAATGCCTCATCCCACAACAGTAAAAATATCCATAACCCTCGCCCCCTCCCAGTGTGGGAATATACCGTCTGTCTCTCTCACCTTGACAGCTCTTGGACTTCTCTATTTAATCCTAAATAGAATTGTCTCTTGGGGACATCAGTTCTATTAAAGGTGCATCTTCCTGGATAGCTGTATTTAAGTGAATTTTTTTTTTTTTAAATTAGGTGACTTTCTGCCCAGACACACATGTGCTGTGTACATAGTAAATCACTTTATTTAAACACTCGGAAATTCAGTAACACCACATAGAACACCACATAGTGACTGGGAGAGATGAAATGGGAAAGATAGTATGTTTATGAAGAGAGAAAATTGATGTTAGACAGGAACAGGAAATATTTTCTTCAGATTGTTGATCTTGATTCCATAGAGATGATACGCCTGGTCCTCAGTGACAGGTTCTGTAGGTGAGTAAAACAGGATAAAAGGATGACTTAACCGTGTGACAGCCTGACGGGGTGAGTGTCAGGAAGCAGGGTGTCAAGGACTAGAGGAGCTTTTACTTAACGCAGTGGACAACTTCTTTGTGGAACCTAGTGTTCTCCATCTCTGGGCTGTGAGAGGATCCATATGGGATTTGTCCAAGGAGGCACGCATGGTAGGACTTTTTGTGGTTAGGACACATTCCAGGAGTGTCATGATTCACGATACATTTCATGGGGAAGGCCCGTCTGAAAATGATTTACAGGATCTGTGATTCAGTTACACTCCTTTCCTTTAATTCCAAAGGGTCTGTGGCTTCCGTTCATTATATTCACCCTGGCATCTAATGTTTTTGTTTGCTTTCAGCCTAGATCAATGTTATTGTTTGAGGCTATGTCATTTTAGGAGGTTTAAAGATGACATTCTAAGGAAACCATCTTCAGAAGGGGAATATAAGTTGAACCCATGTTTCACGGAGTGTGGTTGGAAGGCCTCCCATGTGGCTGTCATGGTTATGGAAAATTCAAGATTGTGATTGCAGGTATGGTGAGTTCCCTTTAAGTCCATTTCTCCGGGAGCAGTGACATACACTGGCAACCATGAACTCAGGAGTGAGTGGAAAACTTATTATTTTTCCAGTTGTCCCTACCAACTTCTGGCAATTCCTCCTTCTCTCTAAATGTGTATCATTTGCGTGGTTCTTCTTTGATAACGGTTTGACACCAAAACTGCTTCAACATTAGCCAACTCAACCAATTCGCACTTTAATAGGGCTCTAGAGGAGCAAAACAACCTAATATAGCAGAAAAAATGTTCTCCAGTGACATAATTTAAGTAATTTGGACAAAAATACTAACTTAGAAAATATGGCCCATATAAAGTCACAACGTGTGCTTGTTAAATTATTTGATATCGGCACTAATAGCAGGTACTTTTACTTACAACATTTTGGAGGTCTTCAAGTCCCTGTTTTCATTCACTTGGACAGTCGTCTGAGGATGGGGAAAAAAAAGACACAGGAGAAAAAGAGCCACTGATCAATATCATTGTTCAGTATTTCCAAGGTTTTCCTTCTCATAAATAACAGATTTTATAAAAGATACTTTATAGAAGAGGAAATTTAAAATGAATCAATTTATTTCCCAATAGTGTAGTTACATTGCAGGTAAATGATATATTTAGGAAAAAAATATAGTCACATTACCAATATTGATGATATTCACAATGTTTTCATCTGGAATCTCTTTTTCTCTAACTGCCTCCTTGAACTTCTCAATATCTTCCTGCTGAATATCTTCTCCTTTGCCTGAAAATCACCATACATAAAGCACAGATTTTCCCAAGGAACTAAGAATTTCTGGATCCATGATTGAGAAAAGCGAAGGTACAAATCAGTTCTTCATGTGGAATAATTTCACAGAGTCTCACGTAGTTACCATTTGCCGTGTCACAGTGTCAGCTGCCTGACTTAGGTCCCTGAAAGGAATTAGTCCCCGTCTGACTCTGGAACATCAGCCGAACTCCGAAGCCTCATCAGGAGCGCCATGAACTTTGGGCCCAGGCCCTCTGGACTAGCTCATCTCCTGCCTCTCTGCCACCTTCTTGGAACCTATACCCAACATTCGTGCCCTGTGCTGGGCCCAAATAAAGTGGAAACTTGATTCTCGCCTTCCAGAGAAACGTCAGCCCTGCCACACGTAGCAATGGGTGACAACTTTTCCTCTTAGGAACCCCCCCTTCTACCCTTACTTTTTCCAAATTGAACCCTACTCTCCCCATGTCTAAAACACACCCTCAGTGGCCCTCTTTGGTTATTTTGGGGGTGAGATTCTCAAGTTTCATGAGAACAATGCTTTGGAACGATGAAACATGATCAAGATTTATTTGAAAATCTTCAGGTCCAAGGCTTAAAAAGTATTTGAAAAACTGTCATAAAGTGAAGGAATTGAGGTCAACTTGAATATAGTCATGGCTTAGAATCAGTTGACCTGTTAAGAAATTTTTTTTCAAAAATGCAATTGTTATAACTTTAACAAATGGAAATTATTTTCAAAGTCCTGAGGAGCTTCTATCTCCCACCCCTCCCAGCTCTTCTTTTCACCTTTCTTTCTAGGTTACATTGTAGGTACTTAATTCAGTGAACACACAGCCCTAGACCTTGTACCCTTAATAATGAATGATGTCAATACATGCTGATTTTCAGAATAGAAATACTGACAATGTAAATGTTATATGACAATGACAATGGAAATATGGCCAGGATGTAACACATACCAAAGAATGCAACTATGTCAGTGACCAGGCCTTCTTCATCCTCATTGAGAAAATGAGTTATGATAGTATTTTGTGACAAATGAAGAATGTGGATTTCAGTTTTGCCTGCATCTGTGAGAGAGAAGATATATGTATATAGCCTCATGTTAATTAGTTTACTGTTGATTAGATTTATCCTGGATTACTTAGCATATTGGTAACAATGATTACTATGTTGATCTCACTCCAACAGTATAGTGAATGTTAAAATTGATATTGACAGCAGGAAAAGTAGGGAAGAAATTTCTTTATTGCCCCCTTCCTATGCAATGAAATCTTCCTTATTTTCTAGTAGACTAAAATATTTTCTAAAACATGTTCCAATGAAGCCAGCATTTCTGTAAACAACCTGAGCCTGTTGTTATATGGCATATTATGAACTTCAACTTTAAAAGTTCTTTTTATTTCTCTTATCCAAACAATTAATTTGTTTCTCTTTAGCACTGAAATCAGTTTGCCATTGAAAACATTGTGCAACTGTGTACTGAGTACCTCCCTGGTACCAGGCAACCTTCTAAACATTTCATGTAAATTGTTGAATTTCATTTGCCCCTCAATCTAGATGTGTTACTTCACAAATTTATAGCTGCCACTAACATGTTCAACTTAATATTAAGACAATTGTACTTGTGTGAATATGCAGGCTGTGCCAACTAGACAATTCAGATCCCACCTGGACGTTGTATTTCCATCTCTCTGGCTAAGGCCCATCCACTCTGCCATGTTTATAGGGAAAAGAATAAGTGCTGATGTACTTTGCACTATCAATAAACCCTCTAACATCCATTCTCCCTTCAAGCCATAACATAGCACCACATTTGAATCACTTGTCAGGGTTTGATTTAAAACTACGCCAATTTGTGTTTCCCACTGCTATTGTCAGTCTACCATGCCAAAGACTAAGTAGCAGTTGTACAACTTCCAAGTTTCATAGGTAAATCTTGCATAAGCCCCCTGTAAGTCTTTGAGTCTTGGGTTAGATGGGGACAATTTAAATCTCATTTTATGCATGTCTTCAGATTTTTAAAACCAAATATGTTATAGCAATGGTTTTATAAAGGAGGCTTCTGCAGAAAATCTCGCTAAATAGGTTTATAAAGGTAATGCAGGTTATGGAGGCAATGAAAGTAAATATATCTTCTGAGTGTCATGTTGCTATTAAGGCCACTGCTGCTATTGTGTTTGTTATGATTATACATTATTTTCGACAAAATAGAACCTGAGTAGTTTGCAATTCCTCGCTTCCAAGAGGCCTCTACAATAACGGCAGCTCACTTCTTTTCTCTTCCTCCTTAACTTGCCATCTCAAATCCATGTAAAAAGGACTACAAGAATGGAGACAATTATAGGGAAATGGTAGAAAACATTGATGATTCAGACAAAGAAGCAAATAATATAGGGATAAGCAAAATGAAATCCTAATTCAAAATGTCTATTGGTAATATAAAAGGTGAAATACTGATGAATGTGTAGGACAAAATGTCACACATATATTTTACTTATTTGTGTGTTCCTTGCAGAGCCAGTGTGCTATTTCTTTTGTTAGGCAAGGGTTGGAATCACAGATTTATGTACATTTTAATTTTAATTGATTAATTAAACATTAGAACTTTTAAAATCGGGATATTGTTTGAGGTCCTTGAAAAGATTACAGAAATATAAATCTTAATCAATATCTCCTTTGCTTTTAACACAAACCCTGGTTATGAAGAAATGTGCTTAGTGTTTAAATTACTGTGACTTGTTTGGGTTTTAGGTAAGTCAAACCATACATTAAGTGGGATTAAGGTGCTTTAAGATTAATTTTAAAAATGTATTCTGTTAAAGCAAAATGACATTGATATTTAACTCAAGAAAGACCCATTGCACATTAGTTCCTAAGATCATTTTAAATTGTTCCGAAACGTTTTCATCTATCTGAAAACCTTATGAAATAAAAGTTCTCAGAACATACTCTCAGTTCATCATTGAATAACATGCAAAATTGGAAAGAGTCCTCAACATCCTATGATTGAACCCTTTGCACATGACAAAATAAGGTGCTTGGAAAATTTAGGGACTTGTGCCTGGTCACACTACTAGTTATTAGTAGAACTAGAATTCTGATATATGGAGTTCTGAAAAGATGTCAGATTTCAACCCTAATATACTTTTGTCGGTACAATACTCATACTTACAATCACAAATGTAAGCATTTTCTGCTGTTTTTGTTGCCACAGTAGATAATTTTCTGCATTGTCCATTGACCCTTAAAAAGAAAACATCTTTAAGTTGATTGATAAAAATAATAAGAATTAGATGTATAATTCAGACTTTGTTTCACCCTCATATGACCCTGTGTCTGGTATCATTTTGCTGCCTATAAACACTGAGCCTTTCAAAAGAGAAGAACTATGTTGTCCATGATCAAATAAGTCTCCGGTGGCCAGAATGTCTTTTTCAACACATGGAGTCAGAGCGGCAGTTCCAAAGACAAGCTGCAGATACCAAACAGGTTGTGTTTAAAGCCAAGAAAACATGGAGAAATATAAAATTTTAGAGAAGAATGAGGAAGAATACAAGTCTTTGTTTTAAATGTTTTCTCAAAACTGAGGGGTATAGCTATCAAGATAGGCCTTAGTGCTTCTCACAGCCCTGGGAAAGATCTCTTAGATAATATAATAAAGAAAAAAAGTACGATAAACACAAGAAAAACATTACTGGTTTAATTTAATCAAAACAGAAGCTACTTATGTGAAAACAGCTTAATGAAAATTAAAGTCACATATATATATACAAACGCCCTACACACACATAAAAGCAAACTCACACATACACATGATATGTGCATATATGATGATAAATTATGTACACAAAGATATATAATAATTCCACATATATGTCACATATATAACAAAGGTGTGTGTCTCTCTGTGTATGAACATTACAAAGAACATGTATTTGACATATATGAAGAATGCATACAACACAAATAATATAAGGGGAAGCAATCCAACTAAAATTGAATAAATTATTGTACATTATTAAATATGCACAAGTACGATTATGCAGCAATTCCACTCCTACCCAAGAGAAGTGAGAATGTATGCCAATACAAAGATAGTACAGAGCTATTCACATCCAAGTTATTCTGAATAATCACACTGTGAAAACAACATTGCCAAACAACTGGAAAATGTACAGATTTCTCCTATCCAAATTGGCAATGAAATAAGTGACCACATGTTTGTGCAGCCATGTAGATAAATTATTAAAGCATTACGCTGAGTGAGAGAAGCAGTGGAGAAAGATGCATAGTATGTAATTCCATCACACAAAGTTCTAGAACAGGTAAGAAAAAGCAGATGAGTTGTTGTCTATGTCAGAGGCAAGACATTTAATGGGGAGGAAAAGAAAGGGAACTTTCTGCTGTGATGGAAAAGTTTTATATCTTGGCTGTGGCAGTGGTGAACCAGGTGTACACACATGTCAAAACTCATTGAACAACACCTTTCAAGAAGGTACGTGTAACTCCATGTAAATACACTTCGATAAAGTTGATTTCAAAATCAATGGCCACATGTAAAGTCAATTAAACAGAGGACACAAAAATTGTTAATATGACAAACAAAAAGATAATCCAGTATTGTTAAAAAACTTACTGAAAACTGACAGATATATTGGGACAGGATATATGTGTGTGTATATATTTTGATTATATGTATGCGATCACTTATATATAATATATAGTCAATTATATATGTTTATAAGCCAGTCTCTCCAAGCATAATCCTCTTATTTTTTTTCTTAATGGTTTTATTCTCAAAATATGTGTCTGTGTTTGCGTGAGGGTGTGAAAGTGATGGGAGAGAGAAAGAGATTCTTTTGTCGTTGTTTTTAAAGATTGGCCCTGAGCTAACATCTGTTGCCAATCTTCCTTTTTTTCCTTCTTCCCAAAGCCCCCCAGTACATAGTTGTATATTCTAGTTGTAGGTCCTGCTAGCTGTGCTTTTTGGGACACCGCCTCAGCATGGCCTGATGAATGATGCTAAGTCCATGCCCAGGATCCAAACTGTCGGAACACTGAGCCACTGAAGTATAGCACGTGAACTTAAGCACTGGGCCGCCAGGCCAGCCCCAAGAGAGATTCTTGAATCCCCTTTATATATTTAGAAGTTAAGTTTGAGAAATAGACTTCATTCAATTTCTTATAGCAAATTATTCTTGAATCTGCCCTAAATTATTTTCATTGGGAAAAATTGTACTTCCTTTCACTTCAAGTCTAATTTCTTCCCAATTCCTAACTTTGTCACTTTACTTTCGGCCCTTTTATCACAAATTTCTTCCAGCCAGTAAGTTTGTGAGGTATTTATAAGTATGGAAATGTTTCCTTCAAATCTTCTTTTTCCTCCTAAAGTTACTTCTTTCCAAATTTCCTTTTCTTTATACTGCCAAAATTTTTTGAAATATTAAGCGATCCTTACTTCTCTATGCAATTATATCTGGATTTGAATCATTACAAAAAGGAAAAATTAACATTTTACTTTCCGCCTACAATATAAATACATATTTTAATCTTATGGGCTACAGATCTCTTAGCCCAAAATTATGCTTTTGCATGCCCTACATTTCATGGCTTCAATGATTTCTCCTGCTTCATGTCATTATCCTAGGATTCTTCTACTTAAACTTAAATTTTAGTGCGGAAACCATTGTTCTTTCTGGGCAGTATCGTCAGCATATGTGATTACAGGTGTTACTAATTTAGCAATAATTTCAAATGTGTGTGTGTCTGTGTCTTTGTGTGTCTGTGAGAGAGACATTGATCTATAATTTCGTATATATTCCCATTTGGCTTAAAGGCATATTCATGGATCTATATGGTCGCTTTGAAACTTCACAATTAAATTTGAGACTCAAAACCTTGTTTCTTCCACATTTCAAGAGTTCATGGGAGAAGCATAATCAGAAAGAAGTAGACTTTGACTGCATACTTCAGTAGAGACTCATTTCTAGTGTGGAGAGTTAAAACTAATACTTTAACATATAACATTCCTCAGAACTCACTCTAATTTTCTTTCTAAATCTCAACTTGTACAATTACCTCCATGTATTTTTACATAGTTGCATGGCCCTATTCATTATTTCCTTAACACCTGAGTAAATGATTATTTACAATGGCCAACACATGGAAACTACCTGAGTGTCTATCTGCAGATGAAAGATAAAGAACATGCTTTATATATTTACATATATAATATATATAACATATATAATATATATAATTGAATATTAATCAACCATAAAAAAGAATGAAAGTCTGCCATTTGCAACAACGTGGATGGATCTAGAGGATATTATGCTAAGTGAAGTAAGACATTTGAGTTCTTAATAAAATGCCTGCAATATGGTGAGCATTTGGTATATAACCTTTGAAGCAATGAAGGCTTTAATGAATTTAGTAATGATTAAAAATTACTGTGAGCACAGATCCCCCAAATATGAACCACCTTTTACAAATTATACGTAAAAGATTCAGGCTAGTAGTAGGAACTGTAGAGTTTGAGGAATCTATGTCCTCTTGGCTGCTTTTGTCCCTCTTTTCTTTAATCGAATTATTCTAGTGGAGCTTCTGTGACTCTGTGCCTTCCAAGCAAATCTTCCAGGGCATCCTCTAGAGGATAGTGCTGGAACTGACATGACAACTACAAAGCCCCTTCTAAACAAACAACTCAGAGACTCGCGTTCTTGAACATAATCCAGATATTTCAACACAAATGTGGAAGGTGGACAGACCCCCTCTCAGGGTCGAACATTTATATGTGTTTTCATTCTGTGTTTTTACTTACTTGACAAAAAACGTGAAGTGGATTGTGTCACCTGCGCTGTTAAAATCAAGTGTACGCATAAAAGCTCTGAATGGTCCATTCTCACTGAGCTTCTCTATGTTACTGGCTGCGCCGTAAATGGTGTTCCATTCTCCTGAAAGCTAAAAGCAAAGTTCCATTCAGAAATTTTAGTCATGCTCTTTTTACTTTTTCTGACGTCATCCATCATGTGTTTTCTTTCCCTTTTACATCAGCACTAAACTGTCTATTAAACAAAGCAAGGTTTATAAAATAATGTGAAAACCCAAGTCAAGGGTAAAAGAAGAAATGGAGATATTTCTGAAATAGCTTGAGTTCTGTTATCAAAACAAAACTCCAGTTCAACAGTTCTCTGGCTGGTTCTCCATCTTAGACAAGGACAATAGAATTGCATAAGGAGCTAATTAATAGACAATATAGACAATACCGAGACAATATAAGACAAGTACAGTAGAAATATGTAAGGAGCCAGTTAATAGACAATATAGACAATGCAGAATCAATGTTAGACAAGTGCAGTAGAAATGTGTAAGGAGCAATTAATAGAGTGATTCTGGGATGGAGGTAAATTGCTAGGCTTAGGTGCACATAAATTTGGATACACATATAACAACCCCAAAAGGGACACACGCACACACACACACACACACACACACCTCCAAGCCCTCTTCTCAGACCAGCCAACCCTTGTTACCTGTGAGTAATCAGTCTCAGACTGAGGGTCCTGGTCAGCACAAACCACACCAAGTACAAGAGTCAGCAGCAGAATCTTCATCTCGTTGGCGCTTGTCGTCCTTCCTCTGGAGAAGCTGAGTGTGCGCCAGTTGTTAGAGAGCATACAATTTGTGGCACTTTTTATAGTATTGCTCTGTTGACATGACACATAATGAACCAGCGGTTGTGAATCATAAGACCTTGGTTATGTAAAACCCTTCTTATAATATCCTGGTTGGCAGTGATGAGCTTTCATGGCATTCTGTTATTTTCATGATGAGATTAGCTTTAAGAGAAGCATAAATTTATCTGTGTGTTTGACCTTTACCTTAAGTGAGAGATCACAATGCACATGAAGTATTTGAAGGACCGCAATATTTATCCTCTTAGATCCTGAGTTCCAAAATGGAATAAGTATTCTAAGACCTGTATCCCCAACTCCTGCATTATTTCCTTAACATGGAGGAGGTATGTTTAAACTTATTTTCTAAAAGTAAGATGTTTCTGTCTGGTTTAACAATATAAAATTGTGGCATCTAGGCTATGAATCACTTATCAAAACATTCCTCAGAAGTGTCTATATTTAAGATTAATGAAATATTTTCAACAAGAGCAAATTCTTGTCTGTTTACCCTACTTAAGAATCTCTCCCAAATCCATGTCTACAATTTCATTTTGCTGAGAGTGCCCAACTTAATCTCCGTAAAATTTATGAGGTTTCTGCCTCATGTATGGCTCCTGATATTGATATCTGTGTTCTTTCAAGCCATCCTCCTGAACTGGCCACGCGGTGGGCAGCCTAGCTTAGAGATAAACCACAGGAAACCAATCTCTAAATAACACTCAATCAATTATTTGCCATGTATGTATTTTCTTTGCTAAGTGTCTCTGCAATCCATTTGTTCAATACTGATTAGGCTGTTTGATTTCTTATTATTTAGTTTGGAGATTTCTTTATATATTCTGGGTACAAGACCTATTTCACATAGAAGATTTGCAAGTATTTTCTCCCAAGTATTTTCTCCCAGTGCCTGGCTTCTCTTTTCATTCCCTTAATACTGTACCTCAAAGACCCAACTATCTTCCTTTTGCTAAAGATCAGGTTGTATGTTGATTGTTTGCACTCAAGTATCTTGCTTTGGGGTCTTATCTAAGAAATAATGGCTTACCCCAAGGTCACAGACTTTCTCCTATTGCTTCTTCTGGAATTTGTAGCTTTAGATTTTACATATAGTCTATGATTCAATTTGAGTTTACTATATGGGGCAAAGTATGGGTTGAAGTTCTTTATATTATTCTTTTTTGCATATGGATATCCAATATTTCCAGCAAGTTTTGTTGGAAAGGCTATTTGTTTCCCCTGAATTTCTTTTGAATATTTATTGAAAATCCATTGTCTCTATATTCTTGTCACTTCCCCTGTAACAGGTTTTGTTTGGTTTGGTTTTATATTCCCCATTCTCTTTCACAAATTTTGGGCAATATTCAACAAAACACAGTTGGGACATGAAGTTCATATGACTTACTTTAGGAATAAAATAGAATAAGAATTAGGATCCAAAGACCAACCATTTATGGCAATCTTGCAGAATAACTGCTAATTTATTTTCCTTTGGGTGACAGTTCAGCCAAACTTCTTCATGTTTTTGGTTTCCTGAGAGACCCCAGGCAAGTTGCCTATTCCTCTGAGGAGAAAATCATATCAGCATAAAACATTGATCACCTCCTTCTTCCCCGAAGCAGGCTCGTTCATCCACATTATTAAGAGCACCTGCCATGTAAATGCCCCATAACCTCATTGGAAGAAAAGCATATGAAAAATTCATTTTCATTGTTCTGTTTTCCTAACAGCTTCATGAGAAGCTGGTCTTCAATATATTATTTATCCTTTGACTCAATTGATTCTCCAAGGTAGGAGAAAAGAGTGATAGTGCTTCCCCAATTTTCAGCAGTTTGAAAATAAAAAGTAAATTTCCTCCTCTCTCTGTACAGTTGGCTATTTTCAAAGACATTGAATCAGCCAAAGAACCTCTTCTTTTTTTACACATATTTCCATATCTGTTTATTTATTTCCCCAGTAATTTATCAGATAGATATATTTTGATTATACTATGAAAATGAAAAGACAATGGGGCTCTCATGATTTCCAAGTCAGATGAGAGAAAACACCCAGCGTACTGACACAGGGCAACTACCTGTTCCCGGGACACCTCAGAGCCTCAGAACCATTCTCTTTGTTGGCTGTCTGACTTTGAGCAGAGCTTGGCTGGACGGAGACTTCCACCTATGTCTTCAGTTGGCCGCTGGCATTCCTACTCAGAACGGATCAACACTGTTTGTTCCATGTTCTTGTCTTTCTTAATGTCTGTTTTCTTTTGTCTTGGTTCCAAGATTTTTTTATGTTTGTTTTACTTATTCCTCTGTGTATTGTGCTATTTAATCTCTGATTGCAAAAGCTATGAAATGGAAAGTTTTCATGTCTCACAATGTCCTCAAAAATTTTCCCCATCACCTCACTGATTTTGAGAATTTTGAGCAGGTGTATAATCCCCGCTAACATAGTGTTCCATTCATTTTCCCCTCTCCATCTCTTCTTATGTACCTCTAACATTTCCAGGTTTTCAGTTGGAGCCCTAGCAACAGGTGTTTCCTGGAAATGTATCCTAAGATCATTCCTTCTTAAGAAGATCATGTCAGCTTCCAAGCAAGTGGAAATTTCCTCCCAAAATGTGTTTCCTGGAAATGTATGCCAAGATCATTCTTTGGAAGACCATTTTCAATGCTAGTCAATAAGAAATTAAAGAGTCATTATTCTAAGAGATTATAACAACAACTTGGTCTTTAGATCCTGTCAATCCCTTTATTTTATTCCTAAAGGAAGTCAAATGACCTTCAAGTCTCAACACTTTTTCATTAATCTTGGTCAAAATGTGGGTAAGACAATGATAAATAAAAGCAGAGCCCTCTGACACAGACATTAACAGCTGTTACCCAACAAACAATGCTTAAGGCATCCGATGTAGATCTTCCTGGTCTTTCCTTCTCAGAGTTGTCCAGGGTTCTGTATCTCTGTAGGATATCTCTCCACTTTATAACTTTCTTTTTGGTTTTCCTGCTTTCTCTGTCATCTTTGTTGTCAACTTGCTGGATTCCACCACTCCTGTGTATATAGTACAGGGAAGTTTTGATCCTGGCCACCAGAGGTACCCTGTTCCCTCAGTGATTCCTGACCAAGGATCCAATGACTTAGAATCTAAGAGATAGTTAACCTCAAGACTACTTTTTGAGATCTAATCTGGTTGAAATTCTCTAACACACTGTCTGTTAAATAGGAACAGGCTAAGTGATCTCAGAGGGTTTTGTTGTAAATGCTGTTCTGTTTCAACATGTCTAGAGTTGTGCCTGGAATTCTACTTTTCTAACAAGCACCTGAGAGATGTCATGGCTTCTGGTCTTAAAACTACACTTTTCAGTAGCAAGGTCTAGAGCAGTCTTTCCAAAGTTTGTCCTGTTTTCAGAGTCCTCTGGGGTACTCATTTCCCATGCAGGTTTCTAGACTTTAAGCAGAAAGTTCAGTTAGACCTGATCTGGGGAAGGCTTTCTAACACTGTTTATGGTGTCTTGGTTCATAATCAGCAGTCACTGTGACACCCAAAAGAGACCCTTGGACATATCTGGTGACATTTCTGGCTGTCACCATGGAAGAGAGGGGTGGTATACATTCCATCTAGTGGGTACAGATTAAATATGCTGCTAAACATCCTTTAAGGCACTGGATAGCCCCTATTAATAAATTATTCATGCCTGGTGCCAATCAGGCCAAGGTTCAGAAATCCTGGTTAACATGTATTAACCTGTTCCCCTCACACTCAATAAATCCCCAGTCCCTATATTAACCTTCAAATCCACCCATGATCTGCTTCTTTTCCTGACTCATCTGCAGCTACTCCACCTCTCATTCCCTCTGGACCAGCCAAACTGGATTCCTTCTGACTCAGATGCTTGCCCATCCCTACAGTGTGCACATCCCCCAAACCTCCATAACTCCGTTCAACTTCCAAATTAATACTCACTTTTTCTTCTAATACCCAGTCAGCATGCACTAAAGAGTAAATTCCACAGTGTCATAGTCTTGGAACTTTTGGTTTTCGCTGCATCCCCACTGCCTAGAACTCGTCAATGTGTTTCTCAGATGATTTCTTTTTTGATTGGGCGAATTTGGGCAATGCTGCTAAATAACCAGGACATTTTTTGGTGAAAAGAAATAACAAAGTAGTTATTAACAACCTAGTCTCCAGGGCCGTGTTCAAGAGTCATTCCAATAAACTCACAAGAGTATGGCTGAAATAGGAGGGATTCTTGTCAACACAGTCAGTTGGGCAATGTAGCCAGGCTCTAGAAGGCAGGCGTGGGCTGACCCAGGGTGTTGTTTATAAGGAAGTGGGAGTGAAGCAGCATCCCCACTCTATGACGAGCTATTCCTGAGACACATGCAGAAGGGAAAGACAGTCACGAGGGGTTCAATACGACAAAAGGGAATGTTTTAAAGAAGAAAGAAGTTATGCAAATTGGTATTTAGTGAAGTCTTACCCTGGAAACAGTTTAACAGAAAATAAGGATGCTTCTATTAAATAATTGCCCTTGTTGTTTATTTCAGCCTGTCTTCCAATGGCACCTCAGGAATCTGACTGAGGAAGGGATTGCCATTCTCCCATGACATGTCCTTGTTGTTTGGAAACACTCTGAGGTGGCGAAAAGCCCAAAGAACAGATAAACATGAAATGTTAATAGCAGAGCCAACATAGGCATCTTATCTCAGATTTTCTCCCTAGAAATTCTCACCCCTTGGAGCTTCCTGTCAGCCCACGCTTCCCTTTGAGAATCCCTTAAACACATCCATGTGGAGAGAAAAAGAAACATATTTTAAAAACCTGGACTGTGGAGGTTTTTAAACTTCTGGAAACAAATAGGCATACAAATAGATATGGAGAGGAGTAGCTGTGATATTCCACAAATGTCAGAGAGGGAAGCTTCCAGAAAGAAAGGTCCTGTTTGTCTCTCACTGTTTACCTTTGGTCTCATATCCGGGTGTTGGTGTTTTTCAGTTGGTTTCTGTTTGTTTTAATT